TTGGCTCCACGTCCCCCCCCTTATAAAACAGTTCCAGCCCCCCCCAATTACAGGACTAGAGGTAAACCCCTTAAAAAATACACCAAAACGTCTCTCACAAATTCCTCTTTTACTTTGATTATATTCTCCGCTGGCATATAAACCCCAATGAAACATACTCTAGATGCTCCCCACTCACCATCCACCCTCACACCTCATCCCCCTTCTCCCACTTTATAATACTAGGGACATTTTCCTTCACAGCCACTGCCACTCCCCCTTTTAACCTAACAGACCCACTTACATACAATTTATAACCTTTTAATGCCAAAGCACAGCCTTTTCTTATAATTATGTTCTTGTATAAAGCATACATCCACATTATATCTCCTAAAAAACCATTCCACCCCATACCCATTTCACTTCATTCCTCAATCCATTTACATTTACAGTTACTACCGTGAATTATTTTAAAAGTGGTGGTTTACCTTTTCTTCTTGGCACATACCCTCCTATACCGTCCTGCTGTATTGCGTCTTTCTTGACGCTTGCTTATTCACCCCCCCCTATCCCTCCAAATTTTCCCTAGAAAACCCTTAAACCCTTCATTACCCCTCCCCTCTTTCCCCCTTATGACATCTTCCTTTTTTGCAAGATTTACTCCTGTTCTTTGTCCTGGAGTAAGAACATCGTCCATCTCCGATGTTCCTGCAGTTCTCTTACGAGAACTTTCCCCCCCCATACACCTCGTCACCTGTCTTTTCCGCCCTATGGACTTCTGCCACAATGTTGGCACATTAACATTAGTGCCACAGCTTTCCCTAAGCTCCAGATCTTGCTGCCCTCGCCTGAAAAGGGGTTTCACCCTTCACCCTCCGTCCCTCCTCGTCAGAAAAAGGGACTTAGTACTGCCTCCACAAGCCACCCTGTTGGCCCCGACCCCCCTCATCCCCCACTCTCGCTCGATGTCGTCTTTCCCTTACAACCGTTAATGTTAAAAAACCTTCCTCCATAGCCCTCACCCCTATCCACTTTTTCCTCCACCCAAGGTTCTTGTTTGCCTTACCCCTTCCTCCAACCCCCCCCCCCCCCCATACCATTCCTCTGAGAAAATCACTTACCTTTTCCCCTCCGCCCAGCTTTTTTATAGATTGGGGGGTATTTTCCCTGGGTTTACCGGGGAATTTTCGGGGGTCAACCCCCCCGGGGGCCCGGGTCTGTGACCATCCGGGACACGCCTGATCAACCGGGTTTTGCTGCGGGCTGCACGCAACCAACTACGAGCCACGCCCGCTATCGGGAAAACATATGTTCAAAGTCCCAAATCGCAAGTTTTCCACTCCCCTGATATACAGAGACCGGGTCCGGAAGACCTCCAGAAAAGTTATAGGAAATTTGGCTCCCAAAAACGTCTTTTCAGAGTAAATGACCCCTCGGGTACCCCCTCATAAGGCCCTTTTTTGCCACACTCCCATTCAGTGATGATTTTCCTTCTGCTAAAACTCCCCTTTAATCATGCTCTTTGCCTCAAATGGCAGTTTCGTACTTTCACCCACGCACAAAAGCTGGTACACATGTAAGCAGACTTTCCCCCATATTTCCTCTACTTTTTTTTTGAATTTGTTGACTATTTGTGTAGAATCCTCTTCTTTTAAACCCTTTAAAGAAAAAACCTTGACACACCATTTCTCTACTCCTTTTAATTCTTCGTTTTGGGATTCCCTTATCACTGTGATCGCAGGGAGTAACACCCATTGTTGTTCCGAAAACGGCCCCACCAAATCCACACAAAAAAGTTTCACTTTGCGCCAATGCATCCCCAGTTGTATGCACAAAACAGGGAAAAAAGCCAGTAAACCAGTTGATTCAGGAGCTACTGCGCACCTGCCAAACCGGGGGGGGATGGGGGGGGGTGTTTTTGGGGAAAGGGGGACACACCCCTGACTCAGGGGGGATAGAAAATGGGAAGGGAAGCTTACTTTTAATAAGGTTTTCAAACCCTCTGATTAAGTGGTATTACCAACTAGGGCCGTCATTCAGAATGATACATAACGAAAAAAAATTTTTTATGTTCTGGCAATATTGTAGGGGGAAACATCTGCAAAAAAAATGTTGCCCTATGCTTCTCGAAAATTAACAAATAGTCCCGAAAGCATACTCTGCCGGGAAATAATCCCCTGCACATATCTTTAAAGGGCTAGACCTTATTTAGATTATTCTTCGGGATTTTGGTCTCCATATTTCGGTATGGACATGAATGCACAAGAAAATATACAGAGAAGTATGACGAAGTTGATTCCATGTAATAGAAACCTTTCCTACCAAAATAGGCTGAAGGCATTGAACTTGCACTCATGGAAAGCCGTAGAATTAGGGGGGATATAACTGAAGTGTACAAATGGAAATCAGGAATAAAATATCAAACCAAGACAGGACTTGCAGCAATAAATTCAAGCTGGAGAAATTTAGATTTAGAAAGGAGAAGTACTGGTTTGTCAGTATTTGCCGATGAGTGAAAGAAACTGCCAGGAATCGCCAGTGAGATAACTCTGGGTAGTTATAAATATAGGTGGGTGTGAGTTGGACCTGCCTAGCATGATTCATTAAGCTTGCTGCAGTGTTCCTTCGTTCTTATGGTCTTATATATCAATGTTGTTCAACCTGCGATACATAAACACCCTGAGGGTGAGTGGTACCTCAGCAGGGGTGCATGACGACTCCCTTGGATACATAAACACCTTGAGGGAGAGTGGTGCCTCAGCAGGGGTGCATGGCCACTCCCTGGGATACATAAACACCATGAGGGTGAGTGGTGCCTCAGCAGGGGTGCATGACGACTCCCTGGGATACATAAACCTTGAGGGTGAGTGGTGCCTCAGCAGGGGTGCATGACCACTCCCAGGGATACATAAACACTTTGAGGGAGAGTTGTGTCTCAGCAGGGGTGCATGACCACTCCCTGGGATGCATAAACACCTTGAGGGAGAGTGGTGCCTCAGCAGGGGTGCATGACCACTCCCTGGGATGCATAAACACCTTGAGGGAGAGTGGTGCCTCAGCAGGGGTGCATGACCACTCCCTGGGATACATAAACACTTTGAGGTATATATTTTGAACCAGGAAAAATAAATAATCAAATCAAATCAAGTTTATTCTCTATAAAGATTACGATGTGGGGTTTACATATTACATAAAACAAATTACAGAGAGGGTCACTATCACACCTAGCATGACTAGGCATTTCGGGCAGACTAAGAATAATTCAAAACTATATTAGTACGGTTTATGGAGCATATTGGTGTTAAGACTAAGTAACTACATTACAGTTCTTAAATTTAGCAATGTGTATGGTTTTGTTTTGGTATAATTCATAGTTTCTATTGGAGCTCCTATATTGGAGTGTCACAGGCAAACTTATGACTAGTTGAGATTCATTAGGTAATAGTTGTATTACATATTTCTTTGTTTATAGTCAATTGTGTAGGTGCGAATTGTGGGGAATCAGATATCGAGGGGAAGTCTAGGTTGTTTTTTATGTATGTATGATACAAGAGAATAGGCGGTTTCATGTAGTTAGTTGACAGTGGGGTGTGTCAGGGAGATAAGATATTTTCTAGCGGTAGTTTTGAAAGTGATGAATGTGTCTGCAGTTCTAGAGTTTTCAGGTAGGGTGTTCCAGATTTTAGGTCCTTTTATGTACATTGAATTTTTGTATAGGTAAACCGGACACGGGGAATGTCATAGAGATTTTTGTATCTAGAGTTATGCCTGTGGGTCCTGTCACAACTATCAAGAAAGTGTTTTAGGTCAGGGTTAATATTGGTATTTAAGGTTCTGTAAATGTTGGTTGCACAGTAGTAAGTGTGGATGTTCTGAACAGTAAGTTTAGATCTATGAAGAGCCGGGGGAGGGGGGGTTGTTGCCTGGGATTGGATTGCGTGATTATTCTTACTGCGGCTTTTTGTTGGGTTATTATTCCCTTTAGGTGTGTTGCTGCAGTTGATTCCCAAGCACAAATAACTTAGGTGAGGTAGGGATAAATGAGTGAATGGTATAGTGTGAGAAGGGCAGATTGTGGTACGTAGTAACGTATCTTGGAGAGAAACCCAACTGTTTTGGATACTTTTTTTGTTATGTGTTGGATATGGGTGCTGAAAGTCAGGTTGCTGTCGATGTGTAGGCCTAGGAATTTGCTTTCATTATGTCTGGCAATAAGAGTGTTGTCGATCTTAATGTTTAGTTGTACAACAACTGCTTTGTTACCAAACATAATACAGAAGGTTTTGTCAGTGTTAAGTGTAAGCTTATTGGCTGTCATCCAAGTAGAAATTTTGAGCAGCTCCTCGTTAACAAAGGTGTTGAGGGTGGCAAGATTTGGGTGGGAGATGACATAAGTCGCGTCGTCAGCAAAGAGAATGGGTTTCAGGTGTTGCGATACGTTGGGTAGATCATTGATGTATAATAGACAGAGCAGGGGACCAAGGACACTTCCCTGCGGAACTCCAGTATCAAGTGGCCGTGTTGATGAGGCTGTGTCTTTAATGGTGACGTACTGATACCTATTAGTAAGGTAAGATTTGAAATATGCAAGTGTATGGCCTCTTACACCATAATGGTCAAGTTTGTGGAGTAGGATGCCGTGGTCTACTGTGTCAAACGCTTGTGGTCGCTTAGAAAGCTGCTTCCTTCTTTCTTATTTTTATTCTAATGTTTTTATGTTCTTAAAATACTAAACCACAAGTCTTGCTCAACTGTTGACTTATTTCTGCTATGAAATAATTCACATGTTTTGTTAACACCAGCAAATATTTTTTTTGTGTGTGTGTGTAATTTTGAATACAAACATTATTTCTTATTACCAAAGAACTTTGTTTCTACAAATCTGCAATAAAATGTGAATTCAGTATATTTTGCATGTTAATTTGATTATATATATATATATATATTATATATATATATATATATATATATATATATTATATATATATATATATGTACAGTATCCTTACATGATGTTTTAGATTGTGGTGGTGACGTGGGGTGCGGTACAGAGGATGACAGAGACCTTGTCACTGGTGCTGAGCCATGAACACGCCCGCTACCTCAGTACCGTCCACGTAGGTCAACACTACGATGGTTGTAATAGTGAATGGTATAGGAATACCAGACTTGATGAAGCCTGATGTGCAGGTGAAACGGTCTTAATAAAGTTTTCAATTGATTCCTATGTGTCTGTAATAACTACTTTGGTTGTTGTTGCTTTGCCAGGGAAAAATTGAGCAGATACAGATCTTTGTCTGGAGATGCTGTGTTGAGTGATGGAGGCAGTATGTGTGTGGCAGGTGCGTGGCAAGACAGTGTGTCTCAGGTGATGGTTGGCTAGCCGAAGCTCCTGTGGCGGAGAGTCAAAATAAAAATCATACTGCTTAGGTCTGGGTAACGGTATTTCTCTTACTGTTGTTCCACTACAACCATTTGTCTTTGTAAAACATTTGAGAAGATGGTGCTTATCAGGTTACTATAAAGAACAAGTGTCTCCCGGTATTAATGGATTCACACATTTGTGGCCAACATTTTTGACCGTACATGGGGACAAAAAGCACAATTATACGATTCTTCTGGATTATTAAAAATGCTTCTATACCAGATACTCCCAGCACTATCACAATTACCTGTGCTGATGATATTCTTCGATATACTAAACCTTTCATGAAATGTTCCACTCACCTGTAATAATCCTGGCCTTATAATTTCTGTAAAGAAGCCTACAGTGTTTCAAACATATTGGTCACCGTAATAGTGGACCATCAAAATTCAAGGTTAATGATAGGCCTCTTGATTATACGTCCGGTAAATGTCTAGATATTACTGTTCTGTGAATATGATAATAGTACAAAATACCGACAGATCGTTAAGACACATGTACAACAGTTAAGTATCTTTATTACGAAACCTTTCACCTACTCAGAAGGCTTGTGAAGACGATGTAATGAATGCATTACTGATGTTGTGTGCACGCTAACAGCAGTGAGCTCAGCATGTCTGTGGTGAAAGTAACATAGTACACTGCAAGACGTTGTTACTGTTAGATTAAAGCTGGGCTATAAGTGTCTGGTAGTATGGTTTGTATAGAGATGTGAAGTGTGTGGGCAGAGACAGGGCAACCATACCTTATGTGATATGCCAAATCACTTCATTGTTAATGACAAGATATCCGGAATCTTTACGTTGTAGCCATATTTTGCGTCGGCTAGAACAATGAATTGATTTTTGAAGAGGCCGCAAACCTGTAATGACCAATGTGGATAAATGGTTCAGAGAACCGACAAGTTGATAAATTAGACACATGTGCAACACTTGAGTATCAGACGTTTCGGTCTGATTTGGACCATTAACTAGTAACAGCAGTTAATGGTCCTGATAACCTATGTGCGAGTTATTTGTGTATTGTTCAGTCACGGTATCGTGCCTTTTTATTTTTCTATGGATATTTGTCCTGTTTCTTGTGTTACCACATGGTAACACAAGATGAGGGTGAGGTGGTCACAACAGTGATCACAGACTTGGACAACACAACTAACAAACCCATAGTGGCCCTCTGGACCACAACAACAGGCTTGTAGACAAAGACATTATTTACACTTCCGTCCATTATTACACTAGTGGCTTTCTTAAGAACATAAGAACATAAGAAAGGAGGAACACTGCAGCAGGCCTGTTGGCCCATACTAGGCAGGTCCTTTACAATTCATCCCACTAACTGTCCTTATTATCACTTGTCAGCCGTCACTGCTGTTGTGGTCCAGAGGTGAGGGTTTTAACAGTGTGTTTGGCACCACTCATTACGCCTCAAGTTCGGACCTCTGGCTTGCCTTTGACTGACTGGTCAGGATGTTCATTCTGAATAACATCAACTAGACTTGTTTCTGTCGCTGCGCAATCCAAGAAAGGTATCCCCGTAATCAATAAGCTCAGCTTCCTCTACCACAATACAAACAACGGCAATGGTACAAGGTGGTCATAAAACTCTAAGACAGCTAAATATAAAACTGCGTATGCGTTTGCATATGTATGTGTGTGTATGCTCATGTATACACACACTAATACATTTTGCATACATGTACATGTGTGTTTATATATACATGAGTGCATGTGTGTATATGAATGTTTACCTATGTATGTATACATGTGCATATGTATACATTTACTTGTGTATATATATATATTGTATCTGTATGTATATGCATGTATACAATTGCATGTACTGCATACACGTACTTACCTAATTGTGGTTGCAGATGTCGAGCCTCAGCTCCTGGCCCTGCCTCTCCAATGGCCGCTAATGACCAGTGGATAGCTCTGGCCTCGTGAGCACTGTCATACCTATTCTTAATACTACGTATGGACCCTACTTCTGCTTCGCTGTCTAGGTCGTTCCACTTCTGTCCATTCTAAGGCTTAAGTAGTATTTTCTAATATCCCTGTGTCTCATCTGTGATTGGCAGATGCAGTTCAATGTAGATAAATGCAAGGTTCTGAAGCTCGGGAGTGTCCATAACCCTAGCACTTATAAGTTAAATAATGTAGAACTTAGCCATACAGATTGCGAAAAGGACTTGGGGGTTATGGTGAGCAGCAACCTTAAACCAAGACAGCAATGCCTAAGCGTACGTAATAAGGCAAATAGATTACTGGGATTTATATCAAGAAGTGTAAGCAACAGAAGTCCAGAGGTCATACTGCAGCTTTATACATCATTAGTAAGGCCTCACCTAGATTATGCAGCTCAATTCTGGTCTCCATATTACAGAATGGACATAAATTCGTTAGAAAACATTCAGCGTAGGATGACTAAATTAATACATAGCATTAGAAATCTTCCTTATGAAGAAAGATTGAAGACTCTTAAGTTACATTCACTTGTTAGACGAAGAATGAGGGGAGACCTAATCGAAGTGTATAAGTGGAAGATAGGTATTAATAAAGGGGATATTAACAAGGTCTTGAGGATATCTCTCCAAGAGAGAACCCGCAGTAATGGATTTAAATTAGATAAGTTTAGATTTAGAAAGGACATAGGAAAGTATTGGTTTGGAAACAGGGTAGTTGATGAGTGGAACAGTCTACCTAGTTGGGTTATTGAGGCTAGGACTTTGGGTAGTTTCAAACTTAGGTTGGATAAGTACATGAGTGGGAGGGGTTGGATTTGAGTGGGACTTGCACATCAGACCTTATTTCTTGGGTAGCATTGAAAACTGGGTTGGGATGAATTGTATGAGCCAACAGGCCTGTTGCAGTGTTCCTCCTTTCTTATGTTCTTATATCCTCGCGTACCTGAGATTCACCTCTCAGTCTCACTCTGTCCACCCTGTTAATGTCTCTCAGTATATTGTACGTCGTAATCATGTCACCTCTAGTTCTTCTCTCCTTGGATGTCGCAGAATTAGACACTTGTGCAGCATCTGGTTATCTTTGTAGACGTTTCGCCAGCCAGTGGTTTAATAACTTCAATACAGGGACATAATATCTAATTCTGCATCTTGTCGGTATTGTATACCATTTATGTACAACTTGTCAGACACTGCAACTTCATGGAATCTTGGTACAGAGAACATATCTTTAACCATATTTCTTACTTCTTGCCTATTTCTTGGTTATGACCTACTTCTACTGGGGATTCCCACCTACCAGTGACAGTACCTTCGTCTGCTTCACGTCCTACACCTCTCGCTAGTATATAAGCACCAAGCTTCATGACTGTGCTTCAGTTCCCTCAAGACTACTGAGCTGTTCACATTATGTCTTATATTGATAAAGCCACTGGCTGGCGAAACGTCTACAAGTAAAGATAACCTGATGTTGCACAGGTGTCTAATTCTGCATCTTGTGGGTATTGTATTCCATTTATGTACTCAGTAGATATGGTCAGGTTTAGCTTATCTAGCCTCTTATGGTACCCCATACTTTCATTTCGCACTAGTCTTGCTGCAAGCCTTCGCACCTTTACCAGCTTTACGTTTTGTCAGATGCGGGTTCTATACTGGCGCTGCATACTCCAGGATGGGCCTGATATATGCCAGGTCGTGAATGCCTCCAATTGTAGAAGTCAAAAGAAAATTGGATAAGTATCTTCACAAAGTGGCAGATCAACCAGGCTGTGATGGATATTGTGGGTCGGCGGTGCACCCGCAGCAACAGTCTGATCTATGAGAGTAAGACACATGTGCAACATCTGGGTATCTTTATTGTAGATGTTTCGCCATCCAGTGGCTTTATCAATACAAATTCCAGGACATAACTTGAAGACAGTAGAACTATGTACAGAAGATGAGGTAATCTTACTCTCATCTTGTCGGTATTATATACCATTCGTACACAGTCTGATCTATGGCCGGGCTCCGGAAGTATGAAAACTCTCACCGAAGGTATATCCTTGTCGAGGTTCCTGGAAGCTATCCTTAAATTGGCCAGCCTTGCGTGTACTGCAGCGATTATTTGGTTCTGGCCTCTGACAAATGTCTGGGACTGTTCTCACTGTGTTTCCAGTTGCCTTTACTCTTCCCCGATTTTCATATTCTTGCATTTGCTAGGGTTAAATTATAATAGCCACCTGTTTGACCAATCCTGAAGGTTTTCCAGGGCCATTTGTAGTCTTTCTGGTCTCAGGTTTGTATTCTCATTAATGCTACATCATCTGCAAACAGGGTCACCTCTGACTCGATTTCCTCTGTCATGGAAGGAAATAACAAAAATAGTCCACCACCTTGGAGCCTTGTTGGACTGGAGGCGCAGCCAGTGGCCACCCATGGCCCTCCAGAATTACAACTACTGATGCCAATAACAAAATCCCCCAACAAATACAGAATACAACCTCGTTCATATTTGCTAATATACAGGGCCTTAAGCCATCCACCAACAAAATACCTTTTATCAGTGGACTTCTAGAGGAGTCTAATGCAATGTTTGCAGCCTTCACAGAGACTCACACAAAAGATCACTTTGACAGTGAAATATGGATAAGTGGTTACAACCTTTTTAGATGCGACAGAAAAAACAGGCAACAAGGGGGGGTTGGCCTGTATGTCAAAGAGTCCCTTATCTGCACGGAGTTGCTGAA